TAACATGAGCAAACCTTTTTTCTCAACAGTTTTCTCTTTGGGTTGTGAGTTTTCCATGAATTTCGACAGTTTATACGGAAATTATAAAATTCGGCCCGAATCAAATCCATTTCAAATAAACTTCGTCCAACGCGTACACACACACACACACACACACACACGCATGCATATATGTGCTCATTAAATGGAATATTTGAGTAAGATTTCAAGTGTGTTCCGCGTAATTAATATCGTTATAATTCAATTATTTGGTGTAAATAAAATAAAAGAATCAGCGACGAGCAAATTACATTCATTTTGCACTTTAAATCTAAAATGAATTGAAAAACAAACAATTTTATTCAACTAATTTTAATTTCCGTTCTATATGCAAAGAATAAATCTGGCTGAGGATATCCAACGAAAGTTATCCTGTCCGAACCGAAAATGAAATGTAATTTTAAATGGTGTTTGTATACGCTTTCCATTCGGTTTGACCGGTTTTGTGCAACTTTTCTCCTCTTCCTTGTTGCAATTGTCGCCCATCGCCCATCATCATCGTTCCCGTTCTTCTCACGTTCGCACTCGCACCACATTAGAACTACTGAATGGCCAGTCACCGAGCCAAAAACACAAATTTTCCACATGCATTGTAATCGAATGGTGAGCGCCGAGCAAAAGAATAAGTACCCCACGGTAAGTGTAACGAAACGAAAAATCAGAGTGCTCTTTCGTTTGTGGCGTGTGAGCGTTTCGCAAGCGAAAAGTGTAAACACTTGCACACAATATACGTATGTTTCGGCTACAATCCATACAATGAGACCTTGAACCTTGAAGCAAAAGAAAACCAACGTAGCACGAAAAACAAGTGCAAATTTTGCATGCATGTAAGACAGAGAGCTCTAGTCAGAGCCATAGTAATGTGTGTGATACAAAAAAATGCGGCGGAATGAAAAATTAAATGGATATTCTTACAATTCGAGAAATCCTTCATTGTGGCGATGCGCGCACGCTCGTTAGCTCGCTCGTTTGTCCGTTGCGTCCGATGCACATTCTCTCGCTCTCTCACTTGTTTGCTGCACAAACACATCACAGCTATAAATGCGGAAACCGAAATTATGGGAATCACAGCATTCGAAATGCACAGAACGAGATAGCGCGGATTGAACGGACACAAAGGGAAAAAAGATTGACATTCTCAAACAAAAACTGGTGGAATGAATGAGAAAAAAAAACGCACACACACTTTTTATCTCTGATTTTTTTCTGAAATGTTTCCGGTATTTTTGTTCGAGGAATAATTTGAATGTGTATGCACGAGCATGCACATTCGAAAGAGTCTCGGCTATTTCCAATGCAAGTCAATAGCGAAATGGTTCAGCATACACAAATACCAGCACACATACGCATAATATATGAGCGAATGATATAAATGTCCAGTGTGCGCTGTCCGTTCAGTACACAGAATAATAAATCCAACCGAATTATATCCCACAACATTAATATTTAAATGATAATAGTATAAAAAAGCGCAGTCGAGAATGAAATCCGATGGAAAAAAACAAACATATCGAAGGCAAAACGACACACTAGTACCATCTCCATAGAGAAGAAGGGAAAAAAAGCACATGAACCAAGTCGCATTTATGTAAAAACATGAATAAGCATTGTCATCGCATAGCACATACACTGAAAATATATCCACGATTTATTTTCAGATGGTTAACGAGCAGTGAGAGCAGAGCCGAACCGAATCACCACTGGCCATTGCACCACCATTCTCGCACATCCTGCGAGATGTGTATTTGCTAATTTTGCCAAGCAAATCTCGATTCGCCTCCTGGAACAGCCGGTCAAAGAATTGAACATGTAAAATTTAGACGAAAGGAGCACAGAGCAGTAGTCGAGAGAGATATGCAGAATAATTATTGTATTGATGACATGGAATGGGTCATCACTGTATTTCTTTTCGCTCACTCTCTCCAATTGGCCTTTTTTCGTTCTTTTTTTTAAATCTCTTCTCAGCTTTTCTCCAGCTCCCCGCCAGAAAATTTTTCCGAATGTAAGTTGCTGCTTCTTATCATCTACTACTACTACTGCTGCTGCTGCTGCTGCTGCGAGAATATATTTCCATTCTATTTGCATTTCACTCCCACTGTCTCGCTTGCTCACTGTGTCGCCGCTTATGCATATTTCGTTTGTTATACATTCTATAGGTGTACCAAATGGCAAAAGGGTCTGTGCACGCTGAATGTGGATAAATCCACAGAAAAATATTTCTTGTTGAAAAAGGAGAAAGGAGAAAAAAAGGATAAATGTGTCGTTGGACTCGGCAACAACACGCATACACATGTCGTAGAGCTGTTGCTATCACTGCGACACACAGGCTTATGGTCGGTCGAAAAGGGAAAGAAATTCTCGCCGAATGAGAAATGAACAAAAAAAATGTCGGAAGAAAATATGATGGGCGAAAAAAATATGTAGCAGTGGCCAAATGGAAAACAAATATAAAAACGAGATTCCTAATATAATGTTAGACGATGCGCATTTGAATTGCGCGTCGATTCCATTTATAGCAATGAAATGGTTTGGAAAAACGATGCCCTCACAGCGGCCGAGTTTCGAGCAAGACTCAAACAATGCATCAATAAAGAGCGACCGAGTTACCAACCGCTTTCGCCATTGGACAATTGCCATTGATGTGCGAATATGCTAATACATACCACACACAAACAAATTCCAAATACAAAAAAGGGCAGTTGGTCCTTAGCAAAGAGGATTAGTTGTGTAATGCAATAAGCAGAACATTCGAGAAAAAATAAAAAGAACAACAGAAAACCTATTAAATTCCGATCTCAATTGATCGACGATCAATTAATAAGGTGTTGAACAGACATCTGACAAATGACTGACAAACGATCCCCACACTCGTGTGAACTCAACTTGGAGCGCGCAAATATAACAAATGAAGCAAATGACAAGCCCACAAACAATACTCTCCGTGTATTGACAAGGAAAATGCCGTTTACACAGAGTGAACAAAAAAACGGCGAGCGAACAATTACACGGGCGAGAGGCGATGAGCGAGCTCGTGATACGAGTGACGACTGCACGACGACAGCGAATAATATTTTCAATCAGCGTATTGCTGCATGCGAATTACGCCAGCAATAGTCAATACAGCGAATAAAAAATCATATAAAACACCGAAAGCCGCACACCGAACACAATAAACAGGCGGAGCCAATAATTATTGTTAAAATGGGATAGCAATAGATATTCAGATTTATCAATACAATTACACAAAAAACTGGTTACAATACACTAGCACACGCGCGCATCGCACGATACACGCAGCCAACAGGCAACACACATCAGCACCGACATCCGAGTCCGAGCGAGTCGAGTGAACTCACAAACACATTCACATACACAAAAACGCAAACAAACACAAGCACACATCCACTCATGCACAATCACAATCACAACCATGCCATTTATAGACTCTCACTCAGTCATCCAATAAATTCAACACAAATATATGTAGATGAAGAGAATTCGAAAAATCTCTTACTTTTCACATTATTCGAGACTCGTTGTGCACATCGTGTGCTCGGTGGATGTGAGTGCCTTGCCAGTGGCTGAGTCAATGCTCTGACATGGAATTGAAAGTTTGGCTGCTTCTTTCATGTACTGAACTAATACCGAAGAAAATCTACTCAGTGCTGCAATTTTCAAATTTGCACAGCTCACAAGCTGCGCAAACTGAACGTTACAGCTCAAATTTATTCCCTTTTTGCGATTTTTGAAAAAATCTGTTAATTTTTCAATGAAATGATCGACGAAAAATGTTTACAAGAATCGTAAAAATATCAATGTTATCTATCACATAAGATCACGCATACAAGCGTTTTAAACAAAACAAAACAACTAGCAAAACAAAACGAATAAAATTCAGCATGCGAACATTGAAAATGATCCGAAGGCATGCCGAACTTTTGGCCAGCGGTTATGGCTTGAAAATGCTTTGCGCACGGCGTCGGCTCATTCGTGAGCATATGTAAGGCGGTCTATAGTGAGAAAGACTCAATGTCCACTCAAAACCAACAAATCCGGTTTGACGAATTGAGTGAAAATCTCGTGAGTAAAACTCGTTCGAGTGAATATCTACTCCGCCGAGTATATGCATCGAATACCCGTCCCATTTGTGAGCTATATTTCCAATATACACGCGTACTTATATTCTTATTAATGCGATTTCTTTCTATTTTCTACCGTATTGAACACTGCGCGAGTGTGTGCGTACAAGTTCGGATTTTTTCCATTTCGTTCGTTCGTCGGTCGGTCGGTTGGTGTGTGTTATGTGTTGTTGTTTTTTTTATGCTTCGTTCGTTGGTCGTTCATTCTTCATTTATCCACTCTCGAGTGCCGATGTGCATGTGTATGCGTGTATGTATGCGATTGTCATTGTTGCTGCCGTTCTTTGCCATCGCCTGTCTTCCTCTGTTTCTTTTCTTCTTCATCGTCGACGTCGTCGTCGTCTTCTTCTTGTTGTTCGTTCGGCCGTGTACTGGCTCTAACGAGCGAGAGTGTGTCGCGCGTTCGGCGATTTTTATGTATGGAAATTGATTCACTTTAAATGGGTATCAGCACTGTTGTGAATGTATTTGTGTGTATGTGAGATCGCTGTTGTATGGGTGTATTGAATGGATATCGTTGTATCTTTGTCAGTTATTTGTACAAATCGTATTCAACGACAGATTCGAACCGACGTACTCTTGTGTGTGATCAAATTTTACTACTGACACTGCTCTGCTATTTGCCCGCCGCTCGCTTACTCGCTCACGCGCTCGCTCACTCGTTCGTTCTCTCCCTACACAAGCCTGTAGCTGCTGTTGCTGCATGCTTTACATGTACATATATACGTATCTGCCACCGATATATCGGTCGTTCGTTCTATTCTGTTTGGGTACGATTCGTCTTTGCTTGGATATTTATTATTGTTATTATGATTCCTGTTTGATTCGATTCCGACTCTCCGTGCCTTTTCACATACAAGCGGCTTGCGTTGTGCATGTGGAGTATAGGCAACACTGAATACAATGTTTTGAGTTCGATTTAGTCAACTGCTGGTTACATGCCAAGCAACATCGTATGTTGTACGGCCGTATACTTTTTTATTCTCTAATTTCGATTTCTGGTTCCAGTACATCGATACGCAAAGCGTATGGGATATTGAGTTTGTCATCGGTTCCACTGATGAAACACCAAATTTAAAAGAAAAAAAATACAAGTAAACGATTCAAGCAACGAAGACAAGGAAAAGATATCTACAATACAAAAATAAACAAATGAACACAAAAAGCGTTTAAAGAAGAAAAAAATTATTGTAAGATTGCCAGCAAGCACAAAGTGATCGGTGTGTGAATGAACAAGTGAATGTCATCAGTAGACTGCAACGGTTTTCAGTCAAGTGACAACCACGATAAATGAAACGTTACAAATTATCGTGCAACGATAGTGCATCCCCCAATTGATTGAAAATTTTAAACAATCGACCAAAAGCTAAAAAAAATTATCAAACTTTTTCAACGAGAAAAAAATTATTTCCAATTTAGTTTTTCTTATTTATGCGCTTATTATTTTCGATAAAAATTTTGTTTTCTCTGCGACCCCTGGAAAGTACATTTTTGGTGCATGCAAGTTCTAAACTGTTAAAATTAAACCGATCAATCGAACAAAGTGAAGTTATTTGCATTGTGTACAAGTGAAATAAAACTGAAGATTTTGAACCCATTGTCATCTACAAAAAAATATTTGTTTATTTTCTTTGGTTTTTTTATGCAACAAAAAATTCAGATCAATTCTGAATGATAAAGAGAAGATGTGAATGAAAAAAAAATATTAGAATTACAATTATCTGACGTTTAACCGCCTCTGAACCAAATCTGTCAAACAAAGTGCTTTTTGGGAAAGAGAGATTTATATACATGGAAATGAAGCAGTTGATAGCCGCTGACTGAAAGTTTGTGAACAACACAAAAGAATGAAATAAAGCAAATATGCATATTAAAAGAGAAAAATTCTGAAATTGTGAACCAAGCAAAAGAATAAAAAGAAAACGTACGGCAATTTATGAATAAAACGAGAAGAATCTCGAACGTTGTGGGCCGATAATTAATTTTCGTTGGTTTGGGATATAATCACGGCATATTTAACGAACGCACCCTCTTCGGAGGGTTTTAGTGGGCTGCAAAGTCTGCAGAATTTGGTGGCATTGGAGAGCGTTGCCTCTAAACAAACGAGTCGAATGCAGCCAACAGTGCCACAAAGTGCAGGAGCAGCCGATATGGATTTGCCGGCTGTTCAGTCAATGGATTGGTTATTCAAAAAGGAACGCATTTACTTACTAGCACAATTTTGGCAACAGGTAATTATCACACATATTCAACATTCATCCAAAACAAAAACCACTTATTCCGTGAATCAGATTTGAATTAGTGTGCATGTGAAGTTCGGTGTTAGTCAAAGGACTTAAAAACAGAAAAAAGTGAGAAGTGTGAAATAGTGCGTATGTGATTGAACTGTATTGTATCGTCAAAGTTTTCATAAGTCAAGGGGAAACCAAAATACAACAATTACAAAGAAAAATAAATGAGCAGAAAAAAACAAACGAATGAATTGACTTGAATCGGCAAATTTCCCATGCGATCCGCAAAAATCAGCTTTCATTTTGGAAATTGACCTTGTTTCTTCTTCAATTCCCACATTGAACGAGAGAAAAAAAATCCATAAAAACAAAGCGAGAACAAAAAGCCATTCTAACGCGAAAAATGAGCATACGAACGCCATTCGATTGGTCATAAAGTGAGTGCTACGTTATTGGTGGAAAAATTGGTGAATATTTTCTTTGTTTTGTTGCGCGGCGTCAGGCGTATTAGTCCGACCTAATGGCATCGCGATCTGCGAATGTGAATCGTGGCATTTTCATAATTTGCGGCTATTATTCCATTGATTTCATTTCGACAGTGCAATAAATACGTATTTTACATTGTGCGTTTTATTGAAAGCATGTTGCTGGTTGTATTTTTTTCTCTCTGTGTATTTCTTCGTTCGACTGATGTGCAGAACACAACCTATTAATATTCCGATGGGTGTATATCAGTAATAAATACACGAGAGAGTTTTAATTTTGCTGTTCATTTCATGTGTTCATTCTACTTTGAGTTTTATTCGCTGGCTGCTTTTTTTTCTGTTGCAAAAAGCCATTATGATTGAGTTGGGATATATTCTTAATATTGCTGGTGTTCGTCTTGTGTTTGGCGTTTATAATTTTTACATGCATTCATCAGAATCAGTCAGAGCAGAGCCAGCAGCATTTGTTGTGAGAGAGAGCGAATATATCGGGATCGTTACAAGACAACCAAATCGAACCGAAGCCAACAGGCAATCGCATTTAGTGTGTGTGTGCTTCTCATTTTTTTCCTTTTCATATTTCTTTTTTTTAATTCGCCTGTTCGACTCAAGACGAATAAAATGAAATTAATAAATTGAACCTATCTCCTTCCACTGTCTTGTTTCATATCTACTTGTTGTGCGCCGTGGCCGTTTGTTGTTTTCGTTCATCGTTTAACCGATGGGCTGAATCAACCCATACTCAATAAATAAATACGTGAAATAACGATTGCAATGTGTCTTACAAATCAACCTGAATATTATTTTTGACTTTTTTTCTCATTCTTAATTCTTCATCGGCGTTATTCCCAATGTCTGAAATGAAAAATCGAGATGTGAAAAGAACAGGCAACACGATAAAAGGAATTTCTACACAATGCTCAAAATGAAATGGAATAAAATCGAAAAATATCCGATGCGTCGTCGTCTTTTATTTTTACTTTAGTCGCTCTCTCTCTCTCTCTTTCTCTCTCTTGCTCGCGCGTTGTTGTTTAAATTTGTGCATGTGAGATTTAATATTGATGAAATGTGCAGCGAATACATTCAGCCGCCCTAACGAGAATTTGATTATTTATTAATGACGACTGAATTTTTCTTGATTAGAGACGAATGCATTTCAAATACACGGACGATAAGAGCTGCATTATTAAAATCTTATATCCTTTTGCGGTGAATCACACATGCACGCTTCTCCTGACCGCATCAATCCAACCGAATGATCCAAAAAAATTCATAATTATAATATTCGACATTGACTGACAACCACCGAATCGGTTCTCAAGAAAATACAAATCCTCGATTTAAAAAAAAAGTTTAAAGGGAAATTTAATTCGATTTGTTTTTCGTTTTGTTTCGTCGTTCGATATGAATTTGGCAATCGATTTGTATGGAAGGTGATCCAACAAAACAAAAGAAAGAGAAAAACAAAACAGTTTGGTAGTCTCACTTACGATGGCATTAGCGGCTTTGTCAATAGAGTGAAACGCAGTCTTGCGTGAAACTGATCGAAGAAAAAAGGCGATCGATGAAAAAAAAAAAGTCGTCGCCGCACAAAACAATGAAAAATTACTGGAAGATCATTCAGAAAAGGTGTCAGCCATTCACGGTGGCAGATGTGTTTTGCTAGATACATTTCATTTGAATTCCTTCGCTTTTTTTCTTCTTCTTTGGCTTATTTTAATTAATTAATCGTAGCTCAACCTATCATCAGTCACACTCACAGTTGAATTTTCACTTTTGTGCGTGAAGCATGTTGTATCCATGACTTGCTCGTGATGCGATCACTTATTGAAGCGTTCATATTGGAAATATGTCGCCCATTTGCAATGGGTTTTAAATACGAAAACACTTCAGCTTTTTCGGTTGCGTCCATCACAATTGTAACACATTCTACGGCTGGTCATACTCAACAAGATAGCGCCTCTTTCATTTGCTCAATGACCAAAATGATGTTAATTTCATTTGATGTGATAATTAATTGGCTTTTTTCTTCCCATGATCAGCAGTTGTGTTGGTCTGTTCAAAATATTCATTTCTTGTTTGCTCTTTCAATTATTTGTTTTGTGTGTATGAAAAACAACACCGAAGACATTGATGTAATGCGGTGCTATTTTCCGTCATAGCCACCAGCAGTGTGCTTCATTTCTTTACTCTGTTTGAATTTCTCCGCTTGTTGAGTCTCTTTTTCAAACTTGACAAACTGTCTTTTGATCGTTCATTGGCTTCGTGCCTTGTGAATTTCTATTCAATTTTGATGTTACCGATCACTTTCAGCCGTTAACAAAAGATGGATTTGAAAGTTCATTCAATTTTTGATTGACAGCGAGAGAAAATCGAGCACAATTTTAATACAATTCAATTTGGTTTCACATTTTTTTAAAGCAATTGATCGTTCTCGTTCTTCTAATTGGCTTTTAATTCGTGCATCTAGCCCAATCAAATGGCGCAATTTTCTGGAACAAATTGCAAAAATCGTGACCGCTCATAGATTTTTCGTAAATGGCTTGTGACAATGCTTTCTCTTTTTCGTAGAATTACTTTTTTTCGCTTTTGTATTTTAGTATTGCGATCCCTGCCAATATAAGGCCACTTTTGAATATCTACTACGTCAGAACAATTGTCGTAGATTCTTCAATTTCATTTGTTCAACAGTAATTTGTGTGTGCACTGTGCAGACAACTGAAATAGAGGTGGCGTTATTTTTCGAATCCTGCGGAGCCAATCAAGGATTTTCTTAGAATGTAATACAATCGCTAATATTCAATTACATTCATCAAATGTATAAAAAAATATACAGAAATGTGTCGTCAGCATAAAGAAATACTGCATGTTAGTCGCATTAATCGAAATCGGAATGATTTGAATAATTTTGAAATTCATTAAAAGTCGCGTCTCGAGTTTTGTTTAACAAATCGTATTTCAATCGGTTTGATGTTTAGTTGATATGCGGTAACAAAAAATTCTTTTTCGAAAAGACCATTGAATTCGACTCGATTCGCTACAAATAATATTGCAAGCGCTTGTTGTTGTTGTGAATGTTAGTTTTTTTTTCTCTTCGTTCACGTCGTTTGTTTTCATTCTAATGTGCACAAATTTCATAACAAAACGGCTAGCTAATTCCATTTACATTCCAGCCGCGTGTTTTTTCAAATCAAATCTCAATTAGTGTTGCGTTCACATGCATTTCTTTCATTTTTATCATTGCAATTTAGCCGAAACGCCAAAGTCAATTTAACGAAAAATTCACACATTTTCAATTGTGAGCGAATATTTGGCGTGCATTAATTCACTCTGCCGTCGAGTGCTGTTTTTTTTTCTCGTGTGCTGTTGTCTGCTCAATCGGTTTGTTGTTCATGTTTCGGAGTCATTTTTTTATGCTCATACACCGTGATGATTCTTTACAATGTTAAAATGAGATGTTTTGACTTGTTTTTGCCAATGCAAACAAGCAAAAGAAAAATGTTAGACTCACAAAAAGAGAGAAAGAAAAAAATGTGAGTTTGTGTGAGCGAGTATGAGAAGAAATTAGAGAAAGATGCGCTTAAATTTTTATGCGGAAAAGAAAAGGTCAGAATGAAGTAATATGTGAAATGCATCAGCTTTTGCGCTGGGCAATTTTCAATGCATGAAACGTCGATCGGCTCCAAACATGCTTTGGATTGGCGCAACCAAACGGTCGAATGCCGGTGCAATTTCTTTATTTTTATCTCTCGCTGGAACGTGAAATTGAAAACCGAACAAGCCCAAACCGAAATGGTGTGCGAATGCTCATTCGCTCACTGCACAAATTGTAGTGACGCTATGGCGTTGTTTACTCGTTCGACAAATTTCGTGGTAATCCATACCTAGGCGAGGTAAATGCAAGAGAGAAGAGACGAAATAAATATAAAAACAACTACACCTTTCAATCAGGCATCAGTTTTCTGCGAAATCGGACGAGTTCTGTTTCATCGTGATTCGATTCTGTAGAAATCGTAATAGGCAGCGTTTATTTGTTTCGCCTTGCGTTCGTTTCGATGATTACAGCACATTTCTGTGGTTTCTTAGCGATAAAGCGAAACGCCTTGCCACGATTAACCCATAATACGGCTCTGGATATGTATCACACATATTCAGTTACACTTTTTATTTTCTATTGAAAATCTATTTCATTTGATACAGTTTGTGCATTGTTTCGCTCTCCGCTGACCATTCCGATTCACATTACCCACTACCCAGTCTCTGATTCGATCGTGTATCGCATATTATATATAGATGTATATTGTTTACCGGCCGTTCGTTGTTTTTTATTCTCCATCCATACACAACGAACGCATTCAATTACGATTCTCACATCGAGAGAGTGAGACAAAGTGTGTATTTGATTTTGGATTTGGTAAATCGCGAATTGCAAGCGGCGATTTCCATATCTGCTTAGTTCACTGCAATGCATGTAGAGTACAAGGAATGCAATGAATGATTTATGATTGCTTCAAC